CCCTAAATCATCTGTGAAGTGTATTTTTAACCATTGCTCATCCAAAGTTCCAATAGTTGAGGGCCATGAATAAGGATAACTTATACTGTGTAATCCACACACCCAATTCCCATTAAAATAAAGTGGTTTTGGTAAATGTACACGGAATTTATTTGGTCTATTTGATGAATAATCTGGGACATTACTTGGTAAAAATACGAAAAAGCTATTTGACATTTTTATTAAATTTTGTTAAAATGATACAATATGAAAAAAATGATTTATCTTTTATACTAAATCTGATTCGTGAATCCATTCTCTTTCTGGGTACCCAATAAATTTAACAAGTATATCATATGTTCCATCATCTCTTTTCTTTTTTCGGATAACTTTTTCTATGCGGTACTCTGTTGCTGCATCCTTTCTTACTCTAGACATTTCATCTTCATAAAAGGATCCTTTGAATTTTTCCCCTTTATCGTCGCGCAATTTATATAGTATAGGGTTCACATGGTCTTTTACTTTTTCCACCTCTAATATTTCATCTCCCCAATTTGGTAGATAGCCTTTTTCGAAATGACCCTTGTCCCGACTAATTCTTACGTAATCGTCCTTTTTAAATTTTGGTTTCTTGGAATTTTTAGTTGAAAAAATATTTCCATAAATTCTCTCCCATACTTTTTGTGCATTTTTAAAATTCACATCTATTGGACGCATTCCATGCACACGACAGTAAGATTTATTAATTCCTTCGATAATTTTTGGTAAAATATCAGTCCAATTAAGTTTGTGATTTTGAGAGAAATATCGGTAAAGTCTTTGTTTTAAGTTTCTAATAGCCCTTTCTGCTAGCGATGCCTTTACTGTAGAATGAGTTGGTTCATATTTTGATATTTCTTCTTTTTCAAAATATTCTTTTAGTAACCTATTTTTAAATTCAGTCCCTTTGTCAGAAAATATCCTGTGGGGTTTCATAGGCATTTGAGTAATAAGATTACGAAAAGCTTCCAACATGTCTTCTGATTTCTTTGATTTTAAAGGGGTAGTGAAGACTCGTTTGGACAAGACATCTATTCCCAAAAGTATATATCGATTTCCTTTATTATGCTTAGAAAGAGACTGCATATCAGCTAAGTCCACTTGTACATCTGTCATAAACCCTGCTGCAATAGTTTTACTTCTTTTAAAGTTCACTCTCTTTTGGCGCATAAGGGTATAGGTACGGTGCCCCTCCAAATAATGTTTGATTACATTTCTTGGTATATTTTTAAACGTTTTCTTTGCCTCCCTCCATAAACTATCTACACCTGCATAAGCTGAAGGGGAATTGGGATCATTGTAAAGTCTGTCGAGAAGTTTTATAAAGTCGGCCATTTCAAGAAATTACCAAAGTGTAGGTTTAAATTTATTAATATCTTCTTGTGTAGGCTTTTGTTTTGCCCATTTATTTTTTCCCAATTTGATCCTTGCAGCGGCTAATCTTTTAATCCAACTTTTTGATGCATTTTCTGATTGTTTCTTTGTAACAGGTCTTCTTAATCTTTTAATAGGGATAAGGGCAGTTCCTTCGGGGATAACAAATTTTCTTTTTAGCTTCTGACGCCTTTTGATATCATCTTCCTTTCTAGCTTGAGCTAAAGCTTATTGATCTATAGGGACTTTATATTTTTTAATATCTCTTTTTCTTTCTAATACTTTTCTTCTTCTTTCTTCTTGCGCAATCTCTTTTAATCTCTCTTGCCTAATATCACTATTTCTTCTACGTTTAAACACATCTGAGTCAGTCGAGTCTAATTCTCTCTTTGATACTTCTAGAGGTATGGGAGGAGAAGGACTTAATGGTGCATTTTGTGATGCTATAACAGAGTTTGGTTCTACAATATCTTCAGGTAGAGAAAATGTTTTATTTGTTTTTCTCTTTGGTTTCCTTTTCTTTTTTATTTCTCTCTTTATTTTAATTCTTTTACCATTATTTTTTAAGTTTCTATCTAATGCTTGATTTGAAGTAGAAGGTCCTGGTACTAATTCTATATTTTGACCACTTTTAGTTGTTGAAGGAATGGATGATGAAGAAAGAGAAGGGACAATATTGTATGCGTGATTAGGGGGTTCTTGGGGGTAATATGAAAAAGAATTATCACTAATCCAATTGTCGTCGTTATCTATGTCATCATTTGCAGAGATATACGATGCGCGCCGTGAATTACTTTTGGGTACAATAGTGCCTTTAGATTTATTGTTAACTAGTTCAACTTTTACTGGTCTATTTTCACGCTCATTTCTCAATTGTAAATATCGCCTCAACTCTTGATTATAGTGAATATTTTTAGAGGATTCACTTTCTTTTCTCCTTTTTGAATTTTCTAAAGCACGACGAGTAAAATCTAGATTTGGTTCACCTACATCGCTTGTTGTAAGACCGCGATAAATATCCTCTGGGACAAGAATAAATTTATTTGCCATATTTTTTTTTTAATTTTTATTAAACTTTTTAAAATGAATAATGATAATATAAATGAATAGTTAATTTGTATCGGTATCACTTTTTATAATTTTTCTTCCAATTTCTATAAGTATTGGGGTAAGAAGAGCTGTAAGGACACCTCCTAATCCACTTCCCTTCTGTGAAATAATTTTTCTTGCTCCCCTTTCACTTCTAGCACGACTCATGCGGCGGACAAATTCAGCATAGGGTAAAAGACGTTTCCGTTGGCGAGTAGTTAGTTGATAACGTGCTTTTACAATATTTAAACATATTTCAGCGATGGCAAGAAGTTGCTGACTGTTAGCCTGTTTAAGCATGCGATGACGTTTGCTATCCGATTTAGATCTTGCCAATGAATTTAAAAAGTCTTTATTATCCATTATAAGTGAACTAATATTGCACTGAGATTTAGACCCCATTTTTAGGAATGAAAATTATTTTTTCGCTGTCGTCTTTAAAAATATTTGTACGAAGACGTAATGTTGGATCTGAAGAAGCATGCATATCAATTAAAAGGTATCCATAAGGAATATTTGTAGCTTGCCTATAGGAATCGAGAAAATAATCTAACTTCTTGGGGAAAAGTTGAGCACCAATATTTCTGACGGAAAGAACAGAGTTTGGAGAACGCATAATAACTATATACTGTGCATTTTGTCGGGCAACTTTAATTTTCTTTTCAAATAAGTTTTGTGTCACAAATACTATAGAAAAATTTTGGTGGTGTGACTTTTTAGTGAATAATTCCGACAGATATTTTTCATCGATAGAGAGCAATAAATCATCTAAAATAACCAGAGAAGGTTTTGGAAGTCTTTTAATTACATCCTCGGGTGGCACACCAGCGAAAACACCTACACCAGATTTTTGAAGAACGGGGACAATATTACTCATTTCACCAAAACAATAGAGAATACTTTTAGGAGGGGGGTCGATTAAATCCAATGATTGGGTAATAAATCTTAGAAGAAAAGTACTCTTTCCACTGGAACTTGGTCCAGAAATAATTAGACCGAATGGAAGTTTAAATTTTAATTCTTTACTAGAAAAATTAATTGATTCTATTAAAATTAATAAGTAATAATAATACAAATAAATGATTTTAAAATAAAAAGAATAGGATTTACAAACTAGGGAAGTGGTATATTATCTAAATTTACAATATGAGGTGGACTTTCTATAACTTCTTTTTCTTGTTCTTTTGTAATTTTTTCTTCACTCTTTTCTTTTTCTATCGGAACAGTGGCTGTGGTAGTTGAAGTAGTAGTGGTACAGCCTATGTTGTCGAAAAATTCCTGAAGAATATTTTCAAATTCTTCATCCGCGGGAATTTCTTGCTTTATCTTCTTAGGCGAAGGCGGCTTTATTGGTGATACTTCAACTTCTTTTATCTCGGGCTGGATATTTTTAATAATAGGAGTCGCTGCACATGGTGGAGATCCATGTTCAATGTTGAAGATTCGACCCTTGTTCTTGATCTATAATTTTAAAAAATATAAATTTTCATATTAATAATAAATACCTTAAAAAAGCAGTGTCCTGGAAGATCGTGGATGGTGTCAAACGGTATGAACGTGGGTGTTTTAATTCGCGTACAATAACAAGTTACCCCTTCTTTGGTTACAACAAAGTCGAGTTCCACTTCAGATCCCTTGCATTCTCGACAACGTCCGGCATGGTCAAAAGGCACAAAACGTGGAGAAGAAATACGCTCAGAAGCAGAAATTGTTAGACCGTTAGCGGTAATATTAAATTCTATTTCGGGGAGAATTTGTCCTATGAGAGCTTTTTTGTTGGACATATTGATTGCCATTATTTTTTGGAAAAATTTTAAGAATGATTTTAGAAAATGGCAGGAAATTTAATTTAACCTTAAAAATTTTAAAAATTAAAATTTTTAATTTAAAAAGTTCGAAAAAAAGCCACGCCCCTTTTTTCCAGGGTTTCAGTGTATATGAATGGATAAAATGGAAAATGGGCGGTCGAGAAAATCTCCTTTGAATATGAGAATGGCTATATATGGTCATACACTTTCCTTCATTCATTTGGAAATATTCGAGAAAGGAGAGATATTTCTCCTTCCACAATTTTTTATAAAATAGGAATTTATTTTATAAGAATAGGAATTTATTTTTAAATTAATATTATTTCAATAATTTTCATTTATTATTATTTCAATATTTTAAATTCATTATTTTAGTTTAATAATTTTTTAAATTTAATTTATTTTATATTTTCATTAAAATTTCATTTAAATAATTTGTTTGTAATTATAATTTTTGATTTTTTGTTTATTTATAGCAACTCATTTTATTTCAGCTTTTTCTATCCTTTTTTAATCATGAAACAAATAAAAATAACTACTTTCTTTAAGCCGAAAAAAGTAAGCTCCAAAAATCTAAGAAAATAATTTAAAAATTAAATTTAGGCTGACAAAGCTTCCCAAACATATCAGCCACATTTTTCTGCGTATATAGAGAAGTACACATTTTTTCTCACGTCTCCAAACCCTTACGACTTAGAACATTTCGGCGTAATGCAAAATGCCTTAACAGGCAAATTTTATATTTCGGAATGTGATCGACTTCCAGAAGTAATATTTATATCTATTTATAAGTATATTTATTAATTTATTAGGAATTTTGGATACGTGTTACAAAGGATAGATTAATGGACATGGTAAATGCTGTGAAAAATATGAAATGTATCAATGAAAAGGGAGAAACACATCCATTTTTGAAAAAACCAGAGCCTGAAAACGAAATGCAGCCATTCTGGAAAAATGAAAATGTGCGAGTTGAGATGTTGGAAATATCTTCAATGGAAGTATGTATTTTATATGAAAACAAAATATTATTTATGAATTTAAAGAGTTCAACATTAACAGAAGAAACAACAACACCAACATGGTTTTCACCAGTCTATACTTCAACACCGCGTGATTCGCCGGTGTCAATTATTAATTCATCACCAGCACTAAATGCTGAACCATATTTGGCAGATTACCTGAATGAGGATGAATCATTCTTCTGAATTGAGTTGAGGTAGATAAAAATCCTAACAAAAAGTTTTTGTCTGTCTTAAAATATTGAACCCTTTTGTAAAATTTTAAGATTTTTAAGAAAATTGAAACAAAAAGGGTTCAAAAAACTTAATCCTATGTTCCGAACTAAATGTATTTTTTAAAATAAAAATCCTCATCATTTATTTATTTATTTAATTTTAAAATAATTTTTGAAAAAACATTTAATTTTTTAAAATAATTTTTGAAAAAATATTTAATTTTTAAAATAATTTGAAAAAATTTTAATTTATCCTTAAAAATTTAAACATTTTCCAATTCTTTATTTTCATTCTTCTTCACAATTTCTTTTCCTCCCATCGTATCCATTTCAATTTCGTGAACCTCCACCCGTTGCTTTGTAACAAGGCAATGGAGAGGTAGTGGTGGGCCAATGTCATCTTTTCTGATGGGTCGGCGGACTAAAAAAATAAAATTTTTACATTTGTTTATTTTTTCTAATATATTTATTACCTCTTCGTGTGTGAACGTGGAGATCCGGGGCAAAAATCCGTTCATCCCTTCGGCGTCTATGTTGTTCAGCTCTTCGCCCATTGAGATAACGTTCCATAATCCAAGCACCAAACAAACATAGCTAAATTTTAAGAAAATATTGTTTTTAATTTAGAATATATAAAAATATTTTTATGACCTGGGTCCCCAAAATAGCAAACAAAATAATATAAACGAAATAAATAGAACAATTAAATTCAACAGGGCGCTCAAGAAATTTTAAAATATTTGGGATAGAGCTGTGGGCGCAGATTATGGGTTTGCTATAGAGTTCAGGCCTATAGCAATTATTTTCAGCTATAGGACAAGAACAATTGGAAACAGGGACCCAAGTTTGGTTAGAGGGGAAATTTTCCATTTTTTTTTTGATAAAAGTGATATATGAAGAAAAGTTATTACCGAAAAGTTTGGACTGTTTATATATCCACTAGAAATTGACACATATTTTTCAGAATAAACAATTGAACAAATTTGCCCTTTGATGAACTTTCTTTCCGCTCTAAAATAACAAAAATTTGTTTAAATAAGCACGTGTTAACCCTTAAAATTTATTTTTTAGCTTGTTGCCGCACAAAAATAAAGAAAATTATTAATTGTCCTATTAACAATCAAATTTTCTTTTTATTTTATTTCTTTTTACATGTTTTGCCGCATTGTAGTATTATCCTTGTTAGCACTTGCAGACTTATTATCCCCATATTTCAGTATTTTAAAGAAAAATAAAATGACCCATTATTACAGATTGCGGTAATAACAAAAAGACTGAAGAATAAAAGAAAAAGTTTTGATAAATTATACTTATATAAAAATATTTAAATTAAAATTAATTTTTGAAGGCACTAATTTTGCGCGAAAATCAGCGTCGCGGGCAAACAATTTGTAAATAATTATGTTATTTTTTGTCGGCAACTTCAAAGGGATAAAATTTGACATAATTACAAATTGCGTCAAGATTAAAGGTCAAAACAACCGTTTAATAGGCTTTAATTGACCGGCTGGTAACAATTTACCCCAAAAGGAAAGGGTCAGTTATTCACACCCGCGACGGTGGGGTCGGGATAACTACTAAGGTATATTAGTATATATTTATAGAACACATATAGCTTTCCGGAAAAAAAATAAATAAAAACATAAATATACCCACTCTTCTAGCCATTCAAACTTAGGCCAATCCTCATAACGATTTTCCTCATATTCCATTAATAGAACACGAGTTATCTCTTCAAATTAAATATATTAAAATTAAGATTTAAATTTATTTATCTACTCACGATCTCTCATTTGAGCTAAACTTTGATAAGAACGCAATATTTGGCCTACAGAAGCACTCGAATTTAAATTAGTCTCTAAGGCATTACGAGGAAAATACTTTAAAAAATAAATTTATTTTAGAAAATTAATTATTTTAAAAACTTTTAAGAAAGGATAATGGGTAATTGAGCTGTCTTTACATGTATCTAAATTTACTGGGTCAGCACAGTTTATCTGGAAATTAATGAAAAAATTATAAAAAAATTTTAGAAAATTACAGCAGCCAATTTAATCACTCCTTGCCATGCCAACAAGTCTTTGGCCAATGCTTTATAGAGACGGGAATACCTTTAAAAGTTCAGGGGATTATTTTCCTATTAATTTCTATTAAAGTTTATTTAATTAACTATTAAGTTCTTAAGTTTATTTTTAAGTTTCCGTATAATTCAAGTTTGTAAGTTTTAGCTTAAGTTTGCTTAAGTTTTTCTATTAAGTTTACAAATTAAATAAAGTTTATTTTTTATTAATTCAAGTTTATTTTTAGTTAAAGTTTATTTTTAAAGTTTATTTTCAAGTTTCTATATATAATTCAAGTTTTTAAGTTTGATATTAAGTTGAACAAAGTTTATTTTTAAATTCAAGTTTATTTATTCATTCAAGTTTGTAATAAATCAAGTTTCTAGTATAATCAAGTTTTAAGTTTATTCTTAATTCAAGTTTATTTATTAATTCAAGTTTATAATAATTCAAGTTTGTTTCCAAGTTTATTTTTTTAAATTCAAGTTACAAAAAACTTACGCTCTACAATGCCCACACCAATCAGAATAAAACTCAACTATGATGCTTGTACAGCGCCCATTAATTTCACTTTGTACCTCTCCAGAAACAAAATTATTATTAGATTTAATTGAATCATTTAATGAATTATTGTTTGTATTTTCATCCAAAAATAAAGAATTTGAAACAATTTTGGTTGGGTCGAAGCAAAACACAGTATCGTTAAATGATTGGTCATCCAATTGTACCACAAAATCGTTGGCATCGTAAAGTGTAGGATTTGTGCCCTAAAGATGTAAAAAATAAAATTTAATAAAATAACTTTATCTTTGTAAGTTTTTATCTAGTTAGGCAATGTTTTGAAGTTTTTAAGTTAGTAATAATTCAAGTTTATTTTTTAAAGTTTATAAAAATCCAAGTTTATTTAACTTTTCAAGTTTGTGGTAATTCAAAGTTTTTAAGTTTGTAAAAAAAATTTAAGTTTATTCCAAGCTTTAAGTTTGTACTAATTTATATTTTTTAAGTTTATATTTTTATTTTTTTCAAGTTTTTAAGTTTGTAAGATTCGTTTATTTTAAGTTTATCGTAATTAAAGTTTGTTTTCTTAACTTTTTAAGTTTGCAGTAATTCTTGCCTATTTAACTTTTAAGTTTGTGATAATTCAAACTTTTAAGTTTACTATGTTAAGCTTATTTTTTAAGTCTTCACTTTGCCATAATTAAAGTTTATTTTTAAAGTTAGTACAAATTCAAGTTTATTTTTTCCGAGTTTTTAAGTTTGTAATTTATTTGTTATATACTCTTAAACTTGAAAGGGAGCATATCTACGATAAAATAACGTTACCTTAGGAACAGTTGTATAATCAGCAAAAATAGCCGAAGCCTCTCGGTTTTGAATAGAAATAATTAAAAATAAAAATAAAATGAATCTCCAACAGAAAATTAACGAAAAATGATAAAAAGGATAAGAAAAGGTTGTTGAATATGAATTAAGAGAATAAAAGGATTTGTAATGATTAATAAACATTTTTTAAAAAAATATTTTATTTTAAAATAAAAATAAAATAAAAACCTGCTTATTTGGAAAAGCAATAAATAAAAATACACAAATAAACATTTTCGCTTTAAGGCCGGTTATTTTTTTTCGTTGGAAACAAAAAAACGATCAGACAGGGTAGGTGGTAATATTTAAAAGGTGTGAAGGGAATAAATGCGCAAAAATTGCAAAAAAATAGGAGAAAAGATTTGGGGAGTTCACAGAAGGATGTTTACTTTTTTTTAAATTTATTTGGTTAAAGGTCCAGATTTTTGGAGGCGAAAGGGAAAAGAAAAGTAAATCGAATTATACACACTAATAGCTAGTCTGTTCTGGGTCATGCAATAGCTACAAAGAATTTTTTTTTAATTTTTTTTTCTATTTTGAGGAATTTAAATATATTTATTTGTGGGTGGTTTTGTAAAGAAAATTCGGTACTTTTCCGTTATACGACCGCAACTGAGTACCAGCCTAATTTGAACAGCTATAACTTTTTGATGCTTGATCCAGTACAAATGAATTTTTATCATTTAAAAGCACTCGATAAGCTCTATCTTTTATTCAACTTGATGAATCTGGTCTGATCACCAATAAAAAAGTTATAACCTGATAACTGTAAAAAACCTTAAAGGTCACAACCTATCAGGTTGTAACTTTTTAAAAAATGATCAGACTTGATCTACCCTATTAGAAAAAAGATACAGCATATCGAGAGCTTTGGATGCTATAAAATTCATTTGTACTGGATCAAGCATCAAATAGTTTATAGCTGTTCAAAGTCGGCTGGCAGTCAGTCTGCAGACGTATAGCGCAAAAGTACCGAAAATTCAATTATACTTTCCAAGTTTTTAGGGTTATAATTACTTTGTATGGGATAGATTGAAAGGGAGTTTAATTAGGATTTTAAAATTCCATTATAACAACCCCGTATATATTTGAATAATAATTCAATTAATTACCCCATCTAGCGAGAGATTGAAACAATAATTAACTAGGGTAATTATTGAGTATTTACAGTAAGCGGTAATATTTATTTCGGCAATTTAAATAGACAAATCATTTTATAAACTCTATGACATAATTTAAATTAATAAGCATTTATTCAAAATATTTCGAAATATAAAATTCAAAAATTATTGTGGAAAAATTCTTATACTTTTAAAAAAAGCGGTTCGATATGGTTTGTTTGTTAATATACAGACAATTGCGTTAAATACAGGGGTAAGATGAACCCAATGGAGAATAATTAATCGAATAATGTTTGTCATATTGTTGTTTGTTTGATAAAATAATAAAATTAGTAAAACTGTTACATGTTTTACAAACGGAACAAAAGACTAAATATTATTAAGATGTTTTAAAAACCTGAATTAATTTGAACATACAAGAATTAATTCAAAACATACATTCAAAACATACCAGAATTAATTTAAAACATACCAGAATTAATTCAAAACATACCAGAATTAATTCAAAACATACCAGAATTAATTTAAAACATACCAGAATTAATTCAAAACATACCAGAATTAATTTAAAACATACCAGAATTAATTTAAAACATACCAGAATTAATTCAAAACATACCAGAATTAATTCAAAACATACCAGAATTAATTTAAAACATACCAGAATTAATTCAAAACATACCAGAATTAATTCAAAACATACCAGAATTAATTCAAAACATACCAGAATTAATTTAAAACATACCAGAATTAATTCAAAACATACCAGAATTAATTTAAAACATACCAGAATTAAATCAAAACATACCAGAATTAATTTAAAACATACCAGAATTAATTTAAAACATACCAGAATTAATTTAAAACATACCAGAATTAATTCAAAACACACCAGAATTAATTCAAAACATACCAGAATTAATTCAAAACACACCAGAATTAATTTAAAACATACCAGAATTAATTTAAAACATACCAGAATTAATTCAAAACACATCAGAATTAATTCAAAACATACCAGAATTAATTCAAAACACACCAGAATTAATTTAAAACATACCAGAATTAATTCAAAACACACCAGAATTAATTCAAAACATACCAGAATTAATTTAAAACATACCAGAATTAATTTAAAACGTAAAAAATTAATTCATAACATACCAGAATTAAATCAAAACATAACAGAATTAATTTAAAACGTAAAAAATTGATTCATAACATACCAGAATTAAATCAAAACATACCAGAATTAATTTAAAACATACCAGAATTAATTTAAAACATACCAGAATTAATTTAAAACGTAAAAAATTGATTCATAACATACCAGAATTAAATCAAAACATACCAGAATTAATTTAAAACATACCAGAATTAATTTAAAACACACCAGAATTAATTTAAAACATACCAGCATTATTAATGTTTTTGTTAATTGTTTCAACAATCTCTTCATATTTTCATCAAGTCCAGTATGTGAATTAACGTATTTAACCATTTTAATCCCACAAATAATTATTATAAAATATGGAGTAATTTCAAAAAATGATTCTAGGATAAGTGCCGGAATTCCCATCTTTTTATAAAAATTATTTTAAAAGGAAAAAATTATTTAAAAATACATTAGCTATTTCACATTGAAAATATGGCAATATTTTATTAAATTCGGCAATTTGTTGAACACCTCCATTAGAATATGGCATAACGGAGAAAATAATATTCCATATATCAATTACATTTATTATTAAAGCAATCGAAAACATATAAAAATAGCGACGGACACCAATTTTCATGTCTCTGTTAAAGAAATAAATGTTTGTATCAAAGTACAGAACTAGCGAAAAACATGTTCTGATTTTTTGTTTTTATTTAAATAAATGTTGTGTTTTGGAAAACATGTTATTCTGTTCATGTTTTAAATTAATTCTGATTTTTATCACTTGTTTTAAACAAATTCTGATTTTTATTTGTTTTAAACAAATTCTGATTTTTATTTGTTTTTACCTGTTTAAAATTAAATATCTATATATAAATTGAACACAAAGTCCATTATTATTCAAATTATAAACAAATATGAAAAAAATATACATGTAATAGAAAAATAAAGGGCTAAACGTTTCTTTCGTAAAATAAGTCAAAACTCCGCCAGCGATGGTAAAAATAGAATTTCCATCCTTGTCGTTTATATAAAACTTAAAATATTGTTTTTATTAAATTCTGGTTTTGTTTTTATTAAATTCTGGTTTTGTTTTTATTAAATTCTGGTTTTTTTCCGGAAAGTTGTATTTCTATTTTTCTTTACTTAGTTTGTTCAAATTTAATTTTGGTTTTTCTAAAAGTTTTACCACTCGTGCAAACATCGGAGCCGTCAATAAAAAAATATCCAAAACACAATTTTGTATCAGAATTCTGCTGTGTGTTTCCATTTCTTTTGGTGTTTTAAAAATAATTAAAATAATCAGAATAATGTTTAGAGGATAACCAAGTAATAAACTTGACCAAAAATCCCAAGCAAGGAAAATATCAATTAAATTGGACATTTTTTATTTATTTTAATTTTTAAAAGTTTTAAAAAAAATGAAGGTAAAATAAAGTAATATTTACAAAAATTAATTTAAAAAATATTTTTTATTAAAATGTTTCACACAAATAACTTTTAAAAATACAAAATAAATTCTAAGAAATTTTTTTTATTTTAATTAATATCGTGAGATATTATTACATTAACGACAGACTTGGTGTACTTGAGATAGTAAACACCTCCGATATTTGAAAATACCCCGAAAATAATCGTTTGTAGTATCAGGAGCATTCTGGTAGTTCTAGACCTACACAAAAAATTCATGGAAAAGCCATGATATTTCCAATGACTTCAACCGAGGATATTTTGAATTATTAATAGGATCATTCAAAAAGATGAAGTTGTATTAAAAAATTTATATTTGTATTAAAAGACATTCATTTTCATTGTCGCAGGCGAAAAATTTGAGAAGGTAAAGAAGCCAGATTTCTTCCAAAAATTAACCTCTGTAAAGCATATAGCTATTAATTTCCTAAGGCTGTGGAGTAGGCGGCGTGGTGTAATGGCTAACACATCAGTCCGATCTACTGAAGAAACTGGTTCTCCCAGCCGCCGATTAACCTTTTGCACTAGCTAAAGGAGAGAAATAGCTATAGCCCAGCTGCTTTACTTCTCAAATTAACCTTCGATCCCGATTTTCGAAAATCGGATTATATTTTAAATTTATTTTAATTTTCGAACAAACTCTTTTAATTAGTTATCAAGTATTGTTAAACACAGTTATCCTCCTCGAAAAAAATTAAAATTTTATTTATTCTCTTTTGTCTTTATTAAATCTGAAAAAGGCACTAAATAAATTCAACAAATATTTGATTAATAAAACAAAAATAATTAAAAATCCAAAAATTAAAATTCCCAAAATTATCAGAATATCCAAATTGTAAAGTTGAAAAACACTTAAATTTCTTGCTTCAGACAGTAATTCTGGTAAATAACCTCCATTTTGCTCCAAAAAGCGAATATTTTTTATCAATTTTTCTCTGGCAGAGAAAGGCTAAAAATTAAATTTTTTTTAAATTTTTAAATAAATTTTTTTTAATTTATAGGTGGTTTTTTAGTCATTTCAGTGAGAATGAGGACGTTGACGCGCAACTTTGTAAAATAGCCAAATAATTAGCTAGAGCTATACAAATTTATATACTTATTTTTAATGCTTGTATCTACCCTCTCTGAAAATTTCAGAATTTTTCTTTAAATATTTTCAGAGTTATAGTCAAAAAACTATCAAAAATGGTCCTTTTTTAGTCTTTCGGATACTCATTCGTCCATAACTTTAGTAATTTCTAACCAAAAATTCTGAAATTTTCAGAGAACATAGGTGACACTTTTATCAATATCCTCACAAAATTTTATGGCTCTAGCTTCTTTTTTGGCCGTTCTACAAAGTCGCAACTACACAACGTTTAGCCGCACTTTCACCCTTCACTGCAACCAAAAATTATTTTTTTCTTCAAATAAAATTCAGAATCATTTTTTCTGATTTAAAAATAATTTAAAAATTAAAATTTGCCTTATTAGCCAATAGTTTACTCAATCTTTTAGCCTCTTCAGCATATTTAGGGTCATTCAAAATTGTTTGAATAACCTCCACAAATTCCTCCTTTCCATTTAACAAAAGTGCTTTGTTAAAACTTTTCCCCCATCCATTCCTTTCGGGAACTAAGCTATTCCGTCTTTGTTCTGCAAAAAATCCAAAACTAATTATTGGAGTTGCAGACAATGCTGCTTCCATTAAACTGTTATAACCACCATGACTAATAAATAATTTGGTGTTTGGATGTTCTAGAATTTTCAAAGTTTTAATTAAACAAACTTGAATTATTTTAAGGTTTGCTTAAGTTTTGTAATAAACTTGTTTTTAAAACAAACTTGTTTTAATTAAACTTGGTTTAAAACATGTTAAAATAAACTTGTTTTTAAATAAAATTGTTTTTAATAAGCTTGTTTTTAAATAAACTTGTTTGAAATAAACTTGTTTTAGATAAGTTTGTTTTTAACAAAATTTGTTTTATAATAAACTTGTTTTTAATTAACATTGTTTTAAACAAATGTTTTTAATAAACTTGGTTTACATAAACAAACCTGTTTCTATATAAACATGTTTTAAATAAACTTGTTTTTAAAACAAACTTGTTTTAAATAAACTTGTTCGTAAAACAAACTTGTTTTGAATAAACATGGTTTAGTTAGACATGTTTTAATAAACTTGTTTTAAATAAACAATGTTTTAAATAAGCATGTTTTATCTAAACATGTTTTAAATAAACTTGTTTTAAGTAAACATGTTTTTAATAAACTTGTTCCTAAAACTAGTTGTTTTAACTAGACTTGTGTTTAATAAACATGTTTTAAATAAACTTGTTTTAATTAAACTTGGTTTTAACTAAACTTTGTTTTTAAACAAAAAAATTTACCTAAAATCGCTCTCTGCGGTGCCCAACTCGTCAAAAGAACATTAGAATAATTTTTCGACATTTCTAAACTATGTTCATCACCTTCACTGATTTTAACAATAAAATGCCATTCTTTTAAACTTCCAAACGCAGCAAATAAATTTTTAATAAAATTATTAGGTAAAGTAAAAGTATTTAATAACGAGCCCAAAGAAAAATAAATTGTTCCCTTTCCTTTTTTTATTTCAGTTAAGTAAGGCTCTTTTAAATTTGTTGTTGTTTTTGTTGATATTTTATTAAAGCCTAAACCTCCAATATACACAACATTTGGATTTATTGGACGGGGAAAGTCTACAAATTCGTCTACATTAACAAATACTAATGGTGTTTCTTTCACTATATTTTGTATTGTTGGATAATTTGATCTTTAAAGAGGAATATTTTTTAATTAAAAATTTTTTAATTACTCTCTAATAGACGCCCAGGCATTTTATTTTTAATTATTACCAGTCTTCGAGAGGGGTGTCCTATTGGAGAGGCGTTTTTATTAGAGAGGGGCTTTGTCCATCACCATCGAAAGTATGAGTTGAAACTTTTTAGATACTCTCTAATAGACGCCCAGGTATTTTATTCTTTAAATCCCACAGTATTAGAGAAGGCTGTCCTATTGGAGAGGCGCCTATTTATTAGAGAGGAGGCTTCTGTCCTTCATAAACTCTAAGTTATCCAAATGGGATATGCTTCAATGAATTTAAAAAATTCGAAACCAACCCAAATCTTCGCCTAAATAATTCATTCAATTCCTCAATCCCATAATAAAAAGCCCTTTCATGCACAAATGTAGCTACTAAATTACTAAATCTTTGGTTTATAGACATTTTATCACTCATAGGAACTCCATAAATTGAAGGAACATAGCTAGCTGGGAAAGGCATTCCAACAAGTGAAGAAACGTGTTCTTGGATTGGACAGCTGTCTAGGCGAAAATTTTTGTTTTTTTTAATTTTTTATTTTTTAAATTCGATTTTTGACGTTTTTAGTTGATTAAAAAATTTTCAAAATTTTTTAAAATTTTTAAAAATTCAAAAAAAATTTTTTAGAAGACTTTAGCCTTCATATAAAAATGTTTTTCCATCAAAAGGATTCGAACCCCCAACCCTTTAGTATATATTTCTAAGCGTTTTCCAACTACACCAAGAAAAATTAATTATTCCGTTAACATAAAAATTCACCGAAAATACAATTCACCGATATTATTTATTTTTCCCAAATTTTTAGCTGATTTTTTCAAAAATTTTTTTTAATATTCTAATAAAAATCCAACCTAACTAAAAGTATATGAATTGGAATTCCAAACAAATAACTCAATGCTGACCCACAAAAATTAATTTGTTCTCCAATAAAAAGATCAAATTTTTCATTTTTAAGTTGTTCTATTAATTCGGTTTGAGTGTCCAGAAAGTCTTTAGAAATTTAAATTTTATTAGGAAAATTAATTAAAGTCCCCGAGCTTTGTATTTCAAAGAGATGGACTGGGAGACTTTTCCTTCCTTCCCTATATGTCTCTTAATGTCTATAAAATCTCTCACTTATCCCACGTAAGAAAGGTAAGGACTTTTGTGTTAATGGGTGAAAAGAAATTTTAATTGGAGTGGAATAAAGTCCGCTAAGGGCCTTTCAACCCTTTTTTATTAAACACTCCTTCCTAAGCCCATTCCTTTCTAATAGTAAGGACATCCAGAAAATAGAAGGGAAAGGGGATGCCTACTAGATATCTTGTAGAGAGGGGGGTCTCTATTGGAGAGCCCCTCGTATTTTTAAAAATAAATAAATCTTCACGTTCGCAAACTTCATTGATAGTATTTTGAAAATCCTCATCATTTTTATAGCCTGTAATAAGAGACCAGGCTGTAGCTTCTTTAAAATAAATTTCTGTTAAACGCCCTTGTATAGTTTCCTTAGCTTTGTTTAAATCAGTTTTGACACAAATCTTTTTTTAGATATTAAAAATAATTTATTTAATTAGTTATTTTTTTACTTTTTTAACTCCTTTTGCTGAAGATCCCTCAAATTCAGCTAAAGGCTCCATATATTCTACTTCAAGTATTGTCTGTCCATTAAAAATTTGTAATTAATTTTTAACAAAAGATAAATTTATAAAATTTTGTGTGTACATTTTTATATGTATTAGCAAGCTTTTCTGAAAATTTCAGAATTTTTGGTTTTGTATACCAAAAATTATGGTCAAAAAACTACCAAAAATCAGCAATTTTCACTATAATTCTGATATTTTTGTCATAACTTCTGAAATAAAAAACCAGAAATTCTGAAATTTATAGGGATGTTAGATATCTTGATTGAGGAGATTCCTACAAATTTTTGCGATTTTAGGTTGATTTTTGACAATCTTCTTAATTTTTCTACCACATTATGTCCATCACTAGCTAATGCTTCCGCAACTTTTGCATTCAAGATAACATGACTACGAGTTAAAGTCTGGCTATAAACCAGAATTTTATAAGCTTTTAAAACTTGACAAAGTTGGAATATTAAAAATAAAATAATTAAAAGAATATTTATCTTCATTCAAAAAAAATTTTTTTACTTAATATGAAAAATTTTATTTAAAATAATTTTCGATAAAATAGCTTCTTTTTTGATAAAAATTATTTTTCAACTGATAAAATGATAAAATAAAGTAAATTAATATTTTTTATTTAATTCTATAGTTCTTTGTTTATTTATTACATTATTTGTCTATAAAAACGTGTCACAAGACCAGGGTTCTTCCAACTCAAAGAACTAAATAATGAATTAATATCTTGATAAGCTTTAGATATCAATAGATAGAGAATTGAATGGACTACAAAATACAAAAATAATTTTAATTTAAAGTGCAGCTAGAAAAAAGTTGTAGGGCAAAATGTTGCCTTAAAGGGTTGCGAACACTAGCGATTATTTTACTAAAATTAAAAAAAAATTTGTGATCACAATTTTAATTTTGTTAAATAAACAATTAGATTAGCTATAAAAACACAGAAAATTAAAATTTTAAAATTAATTTAAAAAATAGATTTAAGTAGGAAAGGTGTATTGAAGTTGGTGAGGGTTTTAGATCTATTAAAATAGAAGGTGAAACAGCGCCTACAATAGCACAGTCGGTAGGGCAATTCTGTACGTGGTGTGCAAAAGCTCTTAGCAATCATCGCAGGTGGTCGTGGGATTGCTTGCTCTTCCCATTTTGCCCTCAGATTAAGCATATTTTTTGCGTTTTTTAAAAATAATGATAATAAATTCTCTTTACACATAATTTTGGTTTTTTTCATTTAATTAAAAAATGATGTCATTAAAGCTTGTCATGTTTCAACTTTAAAAATTAAACAAACTTTCACCTGTAATTAAATAAAAGTAAAAGTAAATATTAAAAATTCTACAGAATTTTTAAAATTGGTTTGAGTGGGCAGATAAAAGGTAAACAATCTGCTTCTAATAATTATGTATAGAATAAAAATTTTTTTTTGTTTATCTTAAAGAACTTTAAATAAATGGCAGGTGAAAATTTCAAAATTAATTAGACGACTTAGACGACTTTTACTTTTAAATATTAAAAAAAAAATTTTTTAACTGACAAAATTCTTAAAACAAAAAGGTAATATTTCGCCACATTTTAATTAATAAATTAAAATAAAAAAAATGTCAACTTTAACCGATATTTTATTTAAATTTGATTTTTGGGCAAGTTTATTACTTGGTTATCCCCTAAACTTTATTCTGATTATTTTAATTATTTTTAAAACACCAAAAGAAATGGAAACACACAGCAGAATTCTGATACAAAATTGTGTTTTGGATATTTTGTTGTTAACATATGTAATGTTCGCACAAATGGTAAAACTTAAAGATAAACCAGAATTAAATTTGAACTTTACGTAAGGAGTATAAAAACCAGAATTAATTAAAAACAACTAAATAAACATAATAAAAACATAATAATAAAAATCAGAATTAAATCTGAACATTAAGTTTTATATAATTGACGTCGATGGAAATTCGGTCCTTATTTTTACTGACGGCATTTTAATTGAATTTATTAAAAATAATTTTGACAAAATTATTTGCAAAAGTTTTATACTTACTGGAAACTTTTTTTACATTACAATTTTGTATGGATTGTGTGCCCAATTTGTTTTTAGATATTTAATTTTGAACAGGTAAAACACAAATAAAAATCAGAATTAATTTAAAACAAAATCAGAATTAATTAAAAACAAATAAAAATCAGAATTTGTTTAAAACAAATCAGAATTAATTTAAAACACAAATAAAAATCAGAATTAATTTAAAACAAAATCAGAATTAATCTAAAACACAAATAAAAATCAGAATTAATTTAAAACAAGATCAGAATTAATTTAAAACACAAATAAAAATCAGAATTAATTTAAAACAAAATCAGAATTAATCTAAAACACAAATAAAAATCAGAATTAATTTAAAACAAGATCAGAATTAATTTAAAACACAAATAAAAATCAGAATTAATTTAAAACAAAATCAGAATTAATCTAAAACACAAATAAAAATCAGAATTAATTTAAAACAAGATCAGAATTAATTTAAAACACAAATAAAAATCAGAATTAATTTAAAACAAAATCAGAATTAATCTAAAACACAAATAAAAATCAGAATTAATTTAAAACAAGATCAGAATTAATTTAAAACACAAATAAAAATCAGAATTAATTTAAAACACAAATAAAAATCAGAATTAATTTAAAACAAGATCAGAATTAATTTAAAACACAAATAAAAATCAGAATTAATTTAAAACAAGATCAGAATTAATTTAAAACACAAATAAAAATCAGAATTAATTTAAAACAAGATCAGAATTAATTTAAAACACAAATAAAAATCAAAATTAATTTAAAACAAGATCAGAATTAATCTAAAACACAAATAAAAATCAGAATTAATTTAAAACAAGATCAGAATTAATTTAAAACACAAATAAAAATCAGAATTAATTTAAAACAAAATCAGAATTAATTTAAAACAAGATCAGAATTAATTTAAAACACAAATAAAAATCAGAATTAATTTAAAACAAAATCAGAATTAATCTAAAACACAAATAAAAATCAGAATTAATTTAAAACAAGATCAGAATTAATTTAAAACACAAATAAAAATCAGAATTAATTTAAAACAAGATCAGAATTAATTTAAAACACAAATAAAAATCAGAATTAATTTAAAACAAGATCAGAATTAATTTAAAACACAAATAAAAATCAGAATTAATTTAAAACAAAATCAGAATTAATTAAAAACAAATAAAAATCAGAATTTGTTTAAAACAAATCAGAATTAATTTAAAACACAAATAAAAATCAGAATTAATTTAAAACAAAATCAGAATTAATTAAAAACAAATAAAAATCAGAATTTGTTTAAAACAAATCAGAATTAATTTAAAACACAAATAAAAATCAGAATTAATTTAAAACAAAATCAGAATTAATCTAAAACACAAATAAAAATCAGAATTAATTTAAAACAAGATCAGAATTAATTTAAAACACAAATAAAAATCAGAATTAATTTAAAACAAAATCAGAATTAATCTAAAACACAAATAAAAATCAGAATTAATTTAAAACAAGATCAGAATTAATTTAAAACACAAATAAAAATCAGAATTAATTTAAAACAAGATCAGAATTAATTTAAAACACAAATAAAAATCAGAATTAATTTAAAACAAGATCAGAATTAATTTAAAACACAAATAAAAATCAGAATTAATTTAAAACAAAATCAGAATTAATTTAAAACACAAATAAAAATCAGAATTAATTTAAAACAAAATCAGAATTAATTTAAAACAAGATCAGAATTAATTTAAAACACAAATAAAAATCAGAATTAATTTAAAACAAAATCAGAATTAATCTAAAACACAAATAAAAATCAGAATTAATTTAAAACAAGATCAGAATTAATTTAAAACACAAATAAAAATCAGAATTAATTTAAAACAAGATCAGAATTAATTTAAAACACAAATAAAAATCAGAATTAATTTAAAACAAGATCAGAATTAATTTAAAACACAAATAAAAATCAGAATTAATTTAAAACAAAATCAGAATTAATCTAAAACACAAATAAAAATCAGAATTAATTTAAAACAAGATCAGAATTAATTTAAAACACAAATAAAAATCAGAATTAATTTAAAACAAAATCAGAATTAATTTAAAACAAGATCAGAATTAATCTAAAGCAAAGTTTATCTAAGTTCTGATTTATAATACAAACTTAAATTAACAGAAACATGACAATTAATTACCGAACCTATTTATTTTATATGTTTTCGACTGTTTTTGTTGTTGGTTCGTTTTATAATCTAATTTGTTTTTTCTATGCTATGCATTATTTTGATGGGGGTATTAAACATTTTGACGAAGAATATTTAAACAAAACATTAGCTTTTGTCATTATGAAATCAGAGGTATTAAACTTTAAAAATTTCGAATTTTTTTAAAATAATCTTTTTGAAGATATATTTGCCGGCAGTAATAATGACTTTCGTTATAGTAATACTTCCATATTTAATAATTTTTATTTGTGGGTTTAAAATGGTTTATTATGTTAATTTACATACTGGATTAAGTCAAAATATGAAGAGATTACTTAAACAATTGACAAAAACTTTGATAATTTTGGTATATTTTTAATTTAATTATTAACTTAATTTTAAATTTCAGATAATTATTCCATTTATCAATCAAATTTTTATTTTATTAGTTTTATTCTTTATAGCCTACAATAATAGAACAAATAGTTCAACAAGAGAAAATGATATACTAAATTTAATTTATATATTTCTTTCAATTTTCACTCATTTTATGCCTGTTTTTAACCCCATTGTTTGTATAATAACCAATAAGCCATACAAAGAAGCTGTGTTTAAAAGCTTAAAAATACACCCTCAATAATTTTTGTATTTTATGTAAAATAAATGTTTTTAATGTTTAATAAAACCAGAATTAATTTAAAACATTTGTTTTAAATTAATTCTGATTTGTAATAAAACCAGAATTAATTTAAATCAA